ACAAGCGAACGAAGTTTGTGTGAAGACTAGTATTTTTTAAATAATGGACTAAGTTGGTAGCAGAAGTCATATCCGGCAAGCATTGCAGTTAGGCGGAGTATCTGAAACATCACTGGATATTTGTATGGCTTCCATTACCAGTGGTACCATTAAGCAGTATAATCCCTGTTTGAAACTTAGGTGAGAGTTTTGCAAGCCAGAAAATCTAAATGTATTTTCAGTATCTGTACCAGATGCCTTAAAACATTTTTGACATTGTTTTTTAATAAAGGCGCTTCTTACGGGACCTTGAACTCATACAGATGTGGAACAGCTCAAATAGCAGGATTATCTTTTACCAATGATTTTAGGCTAACAAACCCAAAAACTATTTGGGACCCGTCTAATGTCCTTAACTATATAAAAACATTCCGTGTGCTTTTCATTGTATATTAACATGTGAATAAATGAAATTATTATTATTACTGACATTTCCTTACAAAAATTAACTTATAAGTTAGCAGCACTATTAGCGTTTAGTACTAGACAAAGGCTTCAGACGTTGGCTAGTATTGAAATCTCTAATATAGAGCTTTAAATTTAGCATTTAAATCATTAAGCGACTCAAAGCGTCTGGTTTAAATAGATTACAGCCAACTCAAAAATGCAAAACCTAACTCCATTAGTAGATGGAGTAGACAGTTCTCAAATGTAGTGGTGTTGATAAATCCATATTTACTGCCCATAGTACATGACATCCGCCGCGGCTCGTAAGGGAGCAAGTATGGTTATAATTAGGCTGGCAGCAGGATGGACTGAAAAGTCAAAAACATTTGCTTATTTCTATCAACGCCGTTTGTTAAAATAGTAAAATTTTGCCCAGGCTGTTCTGGGCTCTTAATCTCTAATTACTCTTTACATGTATTTTCAAAGGTAGCCTTTTGCTTAGTGTTGAACAATCGTTTATTACCATGCTTTTGTGATAATTTCGTTTCTTCCAGGAATAGACTACATATTTATGATTGTTGCAAATTTCTTTAAACATCTACGTTTTATTTAATTATGAAGATGAGGCATAATATAATTAATAGATCAAACAAACTTACCTGAAGTGAAGTTCGATCTGAATTATATGAATCCTCGTCGATATAATTAAGTCCCTCCCAACCCATAACCATAGGCATACAATTATAAATATTTGGTTTGCTTTAAAAGAATGAGATAAGATACCGGCATGACGGACCGATGCTAGCGCAGTGCACGGAACAAAAAAAATCGATATCTTTAAAATGCGTGTAGTTTGAATACGAAGTGGAAGGTACTACGTTCTACTTAATTATATCGACGAGGCTTCATATAATTCAGATCAAACTTCACTTCAGGTAAGTTCGTTTGATCTGTTAATTTTATAGGAATCCGTCCAAATACGAGTACTTCCTCTTAATAATTCCCAATAATTTCATTGTATTCGCCTTGGTAACGTTCGACACTCAAATGTCCTGATGAAAATGTTCTCCTTGCTTTTCTGATGAGCATGCACTTTTAATGACATTCTGCAGCCCGTAGCCTTAAAATATTTCAGCAACCAACTTTTCGTACTTTTCATCTTTTTTATTTCCTAAAAATCCAAAAACTACTGATTTAACACTGTTCCTTTGCTTTTGAATAGCAGCGCTGGAAAAGTTTCATTGGCGAAAATCTGTCTAATTTGCGGACCAACAAAAACTCCAGCTTTAACCCTTGCTACTGATAACTCCAAGTTTCATCCAATTTATGCGATTCAAAACATGGCGTACAAAATTACCAATATGAATTTATTTGATTGATTAATTTGAAGAAATCATGATGTTTCACTGGTACGTATCGTAATAAGTCAATTATATCCTTGAATTTGTAATTAGTAATTTGTCTAATATTTTGATACAGTATTGTCAGTACAATATTTTCAAACGTTCTTTATTTTTATTCAGTTTCAAAATTGTTAATACCTACATTTAGAACTTACGTATTGCGTTTGTAATATGCAACATTGAATGCAGTGTATATAATTGCTGGCGGATGTTTGCCCCTGCCCATTTGTGCCGTTTGATTAACAATTTATGCATATGGAGTTAATGGAATTGCTAGACACTATAGTTTTTTCATTTCACGCTTGTACCGAAGGCAACATAATTCCTGGAGCTGCTCGATGATTCAGTCGCCACAAATTATTTTTGGACAGTATGAATGTTAACATATTTGTAGGGATGATAGGTAATTCCAGACCCTTTCTATGTAATTCTTTGAATTTTTGAACTATATTTTCAATACAAGTTAACCCAGCTGTAACTGGTTATCTGCGCGATTTAATTTCATCAGTAGCAAATTCGACTTTTGAGATTGACAATGTTTTTAATCAATTTTCCATACTGCTTTTGTCCTTGCACTTTATCCATTAAAAGTTACACCCTAAACCAAAATTTGACATTTATAATTTTTTGAAAAGGATTGAGCATGGCAAAATTACTACTTCGCAAATATTAATTATAATAATTATTAAAAAAAAAATTTTCAAATCCATTCCTTTTAGGAGACATTTCTCGACATATTTTTTTTATAGAAAACTGGAGTTTATTTGGGACGGACTGTTACAGTTTATCCCACTAATTTCAGGGCACCCTATTTATAAATTTATGCAACAAGTGAGGTAAACGGCATTTGAGTGTTTAATAAACGAGTGACTTAAAAAGTTTACCAAACGTGTTGCATATTGTACTTTTTCTACTACCGTTAGTTTTTGTATATAATGGGTGTTTTTGTTTCGATGTATAGAACTTTAAGTTGGCATTGCTGTTCAAGATGGCGACCGATTTAACAGCCGTCAAGTGATGTATTCTCAGTTTGGTTTGGCAATTCATCATGAATAAACTCACGCCTGAACAACGCTTGCAAATAGTGCAATTTTATTTCGAACATAATGGTTCTGTGCGGAATACGTATCGCGCACTACATCCATTTTATCGTCGACAAAATGGTCCATCAGAGCAGTTAATTCGATTAACCAAGGAACGTTTTCGCACCAAGTTTACTCTTATTGATAACTCGCATCCCCAGAGATGCCGTACGGTGCGTACAGAAGAAGCTATGGCGGCTGTAGAGCGTAGCATTGAGGAAGATCCGAATGAGTCCATCCGCCATCGAGCACAGGAATTGGATCTGTGTCCATCCACTTTATGGAAGATTTTGCGGAAGGATCTTGGTTTATGTGCTTACAAAATCCAACTCCTGCAAGAGTTGAAGCCAAACGATCGTCAAGTAAGGCGTAGATTCGTAGAATGGGCCCAAAACGAGATAGCCGTTGTTCCCGATTTTCATAAGCGAATTTTGTTTATCGACGAAGCGCACTTCTGGTTGAATGGTTAGTTAGCGAAGCTAATCCTCAAGTGTCTGTCGAAACACCGTTACATCCAGAAAAACTAACTGTTCGGTGCGCTTTATGGGCTGGTGGAATCATTGGTCCGTACTTCTTCAAAAACGATGATGGCCAGAACAGTCAATGGTGATCGGTATAGAGCTATGATTACTAACTCTTTTATTCCTGAATTGAATAACCATGATGTCCAGGAGATGTGGTTTCAACAAGGCGAACATGTCACACAGCTCATGCCACAATCGATTTATTGAAAGACACGTTTGGTGACCGCCTAATTTCACGTTTTGGACCTGTGAATGGGCCTCCAAGATCTTGTGATTTAAGACCGCTAGACTACTTTCTGTGGGGCTGTGTAAAGTCATTGGTTTATGCGGATAAGCCACAAACGCTGGACCATTTGGAAGACAACATTCGCCGTGTTATTGCCGATATACGGTCACAAATGTTGGAAAAAGTTATCGAAAATTGGACGTCCAGATTGGACTACATCCGCGCCAGCCGTAGCGATCATATGCCAGAAATCATATTTAAAATATAATGCCACAAGATTGTTGTTTTATTGCAGCTTAAAGTTCTATACATCGAAAAAAAACACCCCTTATTTTTGCAAAATAACACGAATACTGACATGATCGACAGAATTTGACAAACGTCAAAATTCAAGCCGTCCGGAATTACTCCAGAAATGTCGGAAGTGGCTCGGATCCGCGGGAAACGAAACTCAGGTGAAAATTGACGCTTTCCGCAAGCTAGATTGTAGAAAAATTAGGTATTTTACAGAGCAGAATAGAAAAATATGTTAAAATTTTAACATAATCTAAATCATAGAGTTTTGCGGAAAAATGCCTGATTTTTTGTAAATACACAAGTTTCCGGATTTCCCAAATTTTCATAATTCATAGTAAACGTCCTTGATACTTTTTGGTTTCAAAGAAACTTCCACAGGCTATTTACAAATCTTCTGGATCCCTCCTGCCAGCCGACTGTCAGTTCGGTTCTTCATCAACCGACGCAGAAGAAATACAGATGAATTGTAAATAGTGTTTTTCTACTCCCGTCTGTAAAATGCCTAGTTACACACCGATCTAGCGTGCGGGAAGCGTCACTTTACCACGTCAGTTTCGTTTCCCATGGATCCGAGCCACTTAGGACATTTCCGGGATTTTACCGCACCAGATTGGGAGCAATCGGATGTTTTCGGAGATATTTCCCACGCGTTGAATTTTGACGTTTGTCAATTCGGACGATCATGTCAGTGAATGTATTCGTGTTGTTTTGCGAAAATGTACCCAAAAACTAACGGCCTTAGAAAAAATATAGTACGCAACACGTTCGGTAAACGTTTTAAGTCACTCGTGTATTAAATACTCGCTCCGATCGTGTCAAATAAACTCGCGAGTCAAATGTCGTTTACCGTACGTGTTGCATAATATACTATTAATTTTTTACACCTTTGGAGCGGGGAGACCTAGACAAAACGCAATATAAGGTCAGAAATTATTATATGTGCGATTACCACTTTTTAACAAGCAAACGTCGAAAAATAATTAATATTTCCGAAGAAATACGAAAAGTTGTGACGAGGAATTTAAAACGCTAGTTTGCTTCGAAAATGCTTTATATCAACGTGTAAAAATTAACAGAAACAAAGCAGGTACAAATTTAATCGAGACTACGAAATTGTAATTGAATAGCTTCTGAGGGAACAAGAACCATTTTCAGGTCGACTGCGATTTCTTTTGAGTTTTTAATAGTAAAATCAAAATTTTTGACTATTTCCGCCAGCGTTAGCTGGAGTTGAGTTATGGCGAGTCTTTTTCCCATGCACGACCTGAAACATAGCTTCGGTTAGTTTATATAAACATAAAGCGACGAAAATAAATGATATGCTTATACAAAAATTTAGAATGGACTAAAGAAATCGTATTTTTCAAAGTGGTTCACGTGGACAGATGCCATCAGTATTAAAAAAATGAAAGTAGCTACTTATAAAAGATTGATCACGCCAACGGTCTCTGATCGGTTTGCGTAAATCCACATTAATTTCAATTTGTAGTAAAAATTTTCTAGTTTCTTTTTATTTTCAGAGGACTGCAACAAATAATCTGACAGAATCTTATTTGCCAAAAATTTTTATATTAACTGCTAAGGCGATTATTAAATATACAGATCAATAAATTGTAGGGTTTTGTTTAAAATATCGATCAACAATTAATCGTCCTGGCGACTCTAATAAAGTCGTTTAACTTCTTTAAACCAATGCATTTTAATTTTTCTAGTTCCCAACTTAAGAAAACATAAGTGAAATGCATACACGTGAAAGAGATGAAACGTTAGGAAATAAGTGTACCTATTTATTTAGAAGAATTTTGGGGTAATGTTTGCAAACGGCAAATAAATTAAAAGAAAATTAAAAGGTATATGCTGTACCAAAGATCAACGGAGATCACAAACAAAATTAATTTTTAATTTGTAAGATTTAGAAAGCAAAAGAAAGATAAGAGAAAAATAACACAGTAATATTTTTCGAAAACATACTTTACATTTCATTTTCTGTCTTAAGATAATGTTGCCCAACATTTTTATATAGTTTTTTTAGTTTTTTTAAAACTAAAATAAAGTGCGGATTTAACATGACAGCTTAAAAGGTGTCAATTTTAACAGCTGCGAAATAAAAGACATTGTTTTCGATATGGTAATTTCGTAGCCAACTTGCAGTGTCAGCGTATTTTTTGTCAGTGCGACGTTTTTTATAATTTTATGATTAATAATTAGTGTACATCTATGATAAAAACCAAATTGTTGGTAATAAATAACCACAAATCATTATTTTAGACTAATTAACAAATAAGCTACTTTATCTAAATTTATACAAATAAAAACATTTTTAACGTTACATTTTGAATAGTAGCCTGTGAAAACACACCTAAACGAAAATCTTAATTTAGAAGTAGAACGTAGAGATTGCAATGATCTTTCGCAACACGCCTCTACATTTAGGATATCTACACACTTAACTCCTTTCAGCCTTCAATGGGATCTGGACTCATTTTGGCCGTCCAAACTTATTGACGACTCGTCAGCGGCCATATTGGTTGTTGAATGTTGAAAACGAGAATTTAAATCTCGCGCGTGTGTATATTTAATGCACTTCCTCAATTTTTTTTCATAGTAATCGATTTATATACATGTTATTAGCATAAGTAGGGCTTCTAGATATCTAGTAGCATCCTAACTTGTAACTTCTTGTGTTTGATGATGAAATAGTATTTTTAGAAAACGTGATTATAAATATAGGTAAGTAGTAACTAAAAAGAGAGTAAAGGGATAGAGGTTGTAAGCGAGCTGGATAATAATGGGAAACCTCTTTATTGAATTATGAATGTTAGAGGAAGCAATGAAGATCTCAAGTGCTTCTATCACACCTATCATTTATTCTCAATTATTTGAAGCTTTCGTCCAAGTTTGTAAGCTTCATCAGGAAGACTAAAACATATGAAACAACATTCTATTACAAAACCAACAATCTTCTAAAATTATTGTATACAAGAAACAGTAGTATGAAAAACTATATGGTTTAAAGTACCAATCAAGAAAAAGTTATTTAATACGCTATGTGTGGGAAATAAGTGTGGGTAAGTAGTTATCTTATTTATGTAAAACACTTATTTTTCAAAACCATATTTATTTATTGCAGTGTAAAAAAAAGGGTTACTCTTGAATTCGCGATTTTCTGTATGCATTTATATTTATATATTTTCCTGTCAATTAGAAACCTGTTTTTTGTGTCAACATTTGAATTTTCTACATTTACGGAGATAAACTCGTCGATACCCCAATAAATATCTATATTTCGTTTCTTAATGCAACATAGTAATCAAATGTAAATTTTGAAATAATATCGACCATTAAACAACTTTTTTGCCGTAAAGTTCAGATAAGTTGCATTTGATAGTTTTCCGTATTTCAGATTTCAGGACCTAATCGTCCTAATAAAGGTACTTTATTAGAATAATAAATATAACAATAATTATATTTAATTATAATTATAGAGATTCCATTTCTCATGGAGTTTGATTCACAGTGATATAGCGAAAGTCGAATTGCCGTCATATTTCATTTTCAATCGATTTTGTTCGACAGAAAATTTCGTACAAAGAGGTTTATTGAAATTTACAATTTCCAGTAGCTTTTTGTCAGCATATCTGTCTGAAACTGCTTCTTAGAAAAGAAACTATACTTCTAATTTTATTCACTAAGATGCGTGTAGGTGAACTACCTGTCTACTAAGCTTATGGAATACCACTAAGTTTTACAGTTTTGTTACATTAAGAGACTGAACATAATGACCATGCACTTTTTTACATCTGACTCACAATTATCATCCATTGGGAAAAACAGAAATGAAAGGAAGAATTGTCTTGTTGCAAGTATTACCAAATATTTAGTATTAAAGGACGATAAGATTATACATTTTAAATAATAAATATTTCTTTTTTTTTACAAAACTTCTGGATTCCTCCTTTGTTTCCCGAAACAAAACTACTACTTGTACCTTCTTAAGCGGGTCTTAAAACCATTTAAACTTAACTGCAAAATATCACAAGTGCCATATGCTGACAAGATACATTATTATAACATTTTGCACACCGAATTATAAGAGTTTTTAATGTAATTTAAGACACGTCTGTTATACACGAATACTAATACCGAACGGCAGATAAACAAGGCCGCAAGCAAGACATATACAAGCAAAAGCTCTGCGCCTTTTGAGGCTTTTAAGTTCATATAATTCTAACTTATCAAATGTATAATTGATTGCCTTTATATTGAAGAAAAATTGATTGGTGAAACCCCAAGAAATTCTTATTAAAAACCTATTCATATCATCCAATGATATCGTCTACTGCCTGCCTGCCATTGTGATAGTTTATTGAAATGCTCACAAGAACAGTCTTTATTATATGGTGGTGAATTTTGTCCAATGCCTTTAGAAAATCGACGTACCAACTGCGAAATAAAAAATCTGGGGGTTTAAAGACATCAAAGTTTTGAAAAGAATACGGTACAAATCTTCATGCTGACAATGATTATCGAACATAATATCACTGAAGCTGAACCAGACATTTTGTTTTCTGAGGTGCAAGCTGCCATAAACAAACTAATATCTAATACGTCTGCTGCAATTGATGTTGTGACAGTCGAAGCAATAAGATCTATAGCACCGGAAGGCATGAAAATAATTTACCGATTAAGTTAGGAAATATCGCAAACAAAATATCAATTTTTAATCCTCTTCATAGTGATTGTGATATTTATAGATTACTTGCCTTGATTTTTCATACCAGTAAAATTTTACTTTATAATCTTCGTGCCTGTTTCGAGCACTATCTTCTATGGCAGATAACACCAGAATACGACGTTGATTGTTGCTTCCGAGGAAGAAGTGCTAAAACTCCTGAAGAGACTCGAATAATCAATTTTACAAACAAAAAGGAGGCCGAAATTGTTTATAACAATTTCAATTCGAGACGTTCCGCTGGTTTTGATATTTTTTGTTGGCTTTATTTTTTAGGTGTATCATATTTTTTACAGTGTATGTTAACCAAAGTGGTTTTTTATTTTTGTATTTTATTTCTAAAACGGGAGCCAAGGTATCAAATATATTTATAATGTGATTGTTTAATGTTGTGACTTTGTTATTCATATTTTTTATATATATGATATCCTCGAAAGTAGTAATAGCCAAAAGATTGTTTATTGATATTTTTCATGTTTCTTCCCTTTCTAATCTCACCAACACTATTCTTAGTGTCTTCTAGATCACAACATCCCTCACACCTGTATCAAAATGGGCTTCACTGGATAGTAATATAAAGTCTAATAACGTGGAAGTATAGTTACTTACCCTACTGGGTTCTAGAACTATTTATTTAAAGTTTAAAGACTCAATGTAGTCGCAGAATAAATTTGAATAATTGTTAGATGTTTCAAAAATGTAATTTTTTGTCGCCGCTGTAAACAATTTGAAAAGATTGAAGACGTTTCTCAAACTCTGCGGTGGGCTTTATCACGCCGACAATGTACTTTTTTTTTTAAATCGCGATTTTAATCCACAACTCGTCTAGAACAGTATCATCAGAAGAATGATCAGAAGATGATAGAACGCAGATTTTTTTTATATATATAACGCTACACCTTATACTGTCTGTCTGATCGAAAAACACGGTATAAAGGAATACCAACAATGTTATCCCTAATATTTGAATTTAGCCAAGTTTCTCAAAGACAAAGAACAATATCAGTAAAATCAGATAAAAAAGTGAAAAAGTGATAAAAATGTATTAAGCGCGATGCAGGCTTTCATGGAAGGATGGACTAGAAGTAACCTCTGGAAAAGGTAAAATATTAATAATTACAATGATTAGAATGTGTAAAAAATATATACAAAGAAAATAATAGGCAAATAAAATTTGAGAGTCATCACAACTAAACAAGGAACAATAAGGAGGAAATATAAGAATCTTGCCCTTTGGTATTCACAATCATTTATTAAGTAACAAAGAACTACACAACCCTTTGCCGGCGATATAGTTGTAATCGCAGGAAAAGGGATTTATAAAATAGCATGGCGATGTGGAACAAAGCTCTGGAAGATTCTGGCATAAAACTAACTAAGGCTAAGACAAAAGTAATGGTGATAAGAAATGAAAAAGCAACACAAATAAAATTGGATACAGCAGATCACAAGGGAAACAGGAAAAAGAGAGAAATAAGAGAATAGAAAAAACACTAAAACTGTACACGCAATGAATAAGAACTTAAAAAGAAGACATAAAAAAGAATAAGCAACGTTATTGTGGTATATAAAATACGAAGTATGTTCAAAATGTAAGGTGACTTTAAAGTTTTATTAAAAAGCATTTATGTATTTATCAACGTTATTGTTGCCCCAGTCAAAGTAATCCCCCCAGATATAATACACATGTGTAAACGTTTTTTTCAATTCTCGAGACGCACTTCTGGTAAGCACTTTCTGGTATAGCCTTGAGTTCTTCCAGCGACTTTTTCTCCTCAATCGTTCCAAACCTCATTGCTTTCATAGATTTCTTGAGTTTTGGGGACAGGAAAAAGTCGCAGCCCGCTATATCCGGTAAATATTGTGATGTTGTTTTTGGCCAAAAAGTTAGACACAAGCAACGAAGAGTGAGCAGGTGCATTATCGTGATGCAAAATTTATGAATTGTTTTCCCACAATTCCGGACATTTTCTGCGTATTGTTCCTCACAAACGGCGCATAACTGGAAGGTATTACTCTTTATTGATCGTACGACCCTGTGGTAAGAACTCTTGATGTGCTACGCCACGATAATCAAAGAAAGCAGTAAGCAAGAGCTTAACATCTTTGTCTTGGTCTTGGCAATTTGATTTTTCAACACCATTTATTTCACTTCTTCAACGTTTGCATCAAATATTGACGTGCAGGGGCGTCCAAAGCGAGGTTCGTTATCGGCATCTTCTTTACCATCTTGGAACTGCTTGTACCACTTATAAACATTTTTTTTGCTGAAAGTAGATTCACCATATGCCGTTGTCAACATTTCAAGTGTTTTGCAGCACTATTTTCCATTTTTTACACAAAATTTTATGCAAATTCATTATTCCATTTTTTTTGAAGAAAATCATCCACCACATAAAACACGTCTCCGATTCTGTCTCACAAAAAAAGTAAACGTGCAAACTTGCTGAAAGTGTGAACATATGTTAGGAACATGTGTACCAACAATACAAAAAATACATTGAAGATGGAATGTATGCAGCCGGCCGAATTACAAAAGTCACCTTACTTTTCGAACACACCTCGTATATCGTATTATTATATAGTATAAGTTAGAGTAATAACCCTATACCACAACGGGCCCATCTGGTGGCCTAAGTGCTTGGACGCCCACGAGGGCGCCCCCCTTAATACCATTATGTAATATTAGTAACACCTCTGTCACATTACCTTCGTTCGCCAACCTCGTCTTTCTATTGAAAAGTATTTAGTGTGTCCCCTAATTTAGGTCTTTAAAACTGAAATACTGAATTTTTGACTGTCATTGCAAAATTACTTTTTATTGCTCTCTCGCGTTAAGAAACGAAATATTTCCCTCACTTATGCTCACCTTACACCCAAAGCGAACGGCAAATTGGCATTTTGGACTATAGTACCTCGACCATTTCTGTTATTCCACCGATCCGGATGGAACTCATTCGCATTTGGAAAATAATTCTCCTCGCGCCCAGTGCTGAATACCGATATTATTAGCACCGTATTCGGCGGAAGGTCGTAACCCATAACGTTCGACTTTGTGGGAAGAACCCGGGTCAAAAACGGCGCCACTGGATATAGTCGAAGGCATTCTTTAATAGTATTTTTGAGCAGTACATTCGAAGTAATATGTGTACCCTGAAAATAGCACTTCGTGAAAAATGTGACATATTTATAACAGAGAATCCGAACGGAAATAAGGCAATAATTTAATATTTGAAAACCATAATAATACCGTTTTTAATAATTTTCACGTCGAAACAAAACAAAAAATATTATTAATTAATTTATGCAAGGGATCTCGAAAACTATATCTTATACGAATAAGTTTAAATTGGCAATGAATTGCAGTTTTCTAAGCTCCACTCATAAACATTTAGTTCTTCAATTTTTGACAGCTGTCAACAGTTATTAAAAAAAGGTTTTTGGCGATTTTTTAAAATGTTTGCTTAAATATGAACTGTAGCAGAAAAAGATAAAAACGAAAGTTTCAGCAAATTTTATTCGTAATAATAATACATGAACATGTTTTTCCTTGCATTTTTTTATGGGAATCGCTATCAAGTTTTACCTTTATGAAGGTTAGAGTAAGCAATGAAAGATCTCAGGTGCTTTTTTTGTAACTGGCATTTATTCTCACTACTTCAAGCTTTCGCCCAATATTGTAGACTTCATCAGGAAGACTGGAATATTGAAAGATATTCTATTACAAACAACTTACCCTAATGTTCAATTATTATTTATGTTTGTTTAGAATTTTTTAACAATTGATGTTATATCAAAAACACCAACCCAGAAAACGGTTTGAACTATGTATCGTTTAATTATTATATCAAACTAAATATATTTATTATAACTACGTACAGAATATGCAGTTTAAACTCTGAAAGACGGAAAAACACTCGGTTCACACCCCAGCCGGCATTCTTTTGTTGGTGATATATTAATGAATTTAAAATGTAAATACACTCGTGGAAATTACAGACAAGGATGATTTTGATCAATAACTTATTCAAATTAAATAATTAGTTAAAAACATATAGGATGATACGAGATACTTTAAAAAAAAAAAAAAATTAATCACAACGTCTTTAAACAGAACAAACCAATAGACTGACGGCTATCTTACTATAGTGGGAGTGAAATTATTTATTATAACTACTTACAGAATGTGCAGTTTAAACTCTGAAAGGTGGAAAAACACTCGGTACACACCGCAGCCGGCATTCTTCTTGTTGGTGATATATTAATGAATTTAAAATATAAATACACTCGTGGAAATTACAGACAAGGATGACTTTGATCAATAACTTAATCAAATTAAACAATTAGTTAAAAACATATAGGATGACACGAGATACTTTTTTAAAAAAAAATTTTTAATCACAACGTCTTTATACAGAAGAAAACAATAGACTGACTTCCAACTTACTATGGTGGGAGTGACATTAGTAACAAAATGTTGCCAACAGCAATATCAACTTTAAACATTTTAAACAAAGCGGTAATTTTAAAAATAATGATTTTTATTTAAATTGTTGACACTGGACTAACGGCAACTTACTCGCAAAACCACTACGGTCTGTGATGGTAAAAGTCTGATAGTTTTGGTTATAAAAAGATATAGAGGCATTAAGTGTAATTTTTACGTATTTACTAGGTCAAAAACTCACGAAAAATCAATTTCGAGAAGATCGATTCAGTTTATCTCAAGGTGTATTGTTCAAAATGTAAAAAAAAATTAAACTAACCAAGATATCTAAGGCACTATTGGGAGTAAGTATAGGAAAATTAGCAGAAGCCAACAGAAATCTAAAAATGGAATAATGTTCCATTTTAAATAAAAATGTTAGGTGCTGTGATACACTGCGTAATACTATTTTTATGGCATGGAGCAAAACAGCCGTCGATATCATTGAGACTCTATAAGTTTTCGGAAGTATATTGATACTCATTATTTCAATACAACTGCAAAAATAAAGGGCATTTTCTTATATAAATATTGGGTCAATGTCAATGTTTATATTTTATTTTTTTAGGAGGCGATTGAATTAAACTAGTCCCATCATTTATATCAACAAAAATAAAATATGTTTTTTTTATTTTTTATGTTTCATTTAGAAACATTCATCGCCTGTAATTTTTTCATAAAACATACTGTTCCTAAATGAATAAATTAAATTTATAGCAATGCATAAGGATATAAATAAATCGAGTGGACTGCGGTCACTTCCAAAGGCGTTAATTAAATCAAAAATTTGTTGGAAGAGGTGTTCTTTAACATTGGCAGCCCCGATTCCTAGATTGCATTTTTTTACTTGAGGATTTAAAAGAATTAGTCTACTTCACTTAAAGAAAATATTCATTCATGGTTAACGCTCCAGAAATATTTAATATTAAATTATTTCTAAAATGTAATTGTTTGACAGCGCTCAACTAAATCATTTTTCTAAAACAATTTTTTGACGACATTTAATGCTTGCACTACAATGGAATATCATTTTATATTTCTAAGTTTTCGATAAACCCATCTATCGCATTTTGCCATGCCATTGGACAAGTTTTTTTGTTAATTAAGCTAAGAATCCCCTCCGGTAATTAAAAAAAATGTTCAGAAAGTGTGTTTTTGTAATAGTAAATACTTACCTAACATTTAATGCTCTTTTATTTTCTTTAAAAAAATGTTTTCCGCCATATTTGTAGCGAGAAATCTCCCTAATGGTTCGCTTTTGATCCTACGTTTATATAACAAAACCACCCTTTTATTTCAAACAAAGAATTTCCCCCTTACGTTTTGCTAATTTACTTTGAAACATCGTTTCCAATTATGTTTAAAAAGTCACATAATCACATTGCTCAAGCTATCACCTGAAGTTCTGAAGTATTTTTACGGAAATGTAACTAATTAATAATAAAATTATTTCGGTAATTACCTTTTCATTCGCCAGCTCTCCTCTCAATCTCTCTTGAACGGTTCTATTCCTGCCCAGAAGATACAACATCCACTCTATTGAATACACCGTCGTATCTCCAGCTGCTAGAATCAGATCGGTGACAATTTTTGTTACGTCCTCAACGGCCATATTAGACCTCATTTTAACTAGCAATCCGTCATCGTCAGGGCCAAGAAGCTCATAAAGTATAACAACCAGCTTGCTAGCTGACGCCAGTACCTTGGATATAGCCGATTCGAACTTTTTCCACCTATAAGAACATAAGAACAGTAAATATCGTGACACTATTTAATTACGATTTGCTTTCGTACCTCGATATCCGCCACTTAGCGGCAAATTCTGAAGGAACCAAGGCTAATTTAGAACTCGTTTCGAAAACCAAATGTATGGTAGACGTGAGTTCTTTCACGCTATCCTCGATTAATTCTCTCATTTCCAAGTATCGCTTCGGACCGAGAAGAACTGCCAATATGGTTTCCAGAGATGATCGATAGAGATCTCCTTCGAGTTTGAGGTAATAGAACTTATCTCCGGAATTTTCGCGAATTTTTCCTATCAAGTTATGCGTCACAACTTGACAGCACTCTTCCATCCAGTGGGTATCACCTTTTAAAAGGAGATTGTTGAGTATTTTTCGAAAGTGGAGCCACTCGTCGCCGTTCATAAAAAAAATTCCCCTTTTGATGTTGTAAATCCGATTATAAGTTAACCACGCTTCCGGTAGAATGTGTATCGGATATTTTCCTAGAAATATATTAGCCTGCTTGTTAATGAGAAATGTGTTCATATACATAAGTGTTTTTTTAAAAGAAACTTCCAAGGTGTGTGGAACTTGTAGGTACTCTTTTTCTGGCTTTCGGATCATGTCTCGCTGACGTTTCGCTAAACATCTTGCTGTCTTCTTCAGAGCGGTGCCCAAAACTCATGACAGATTACTATGCATGCAACTCAAATACATGCGTGGGGATGGAGGAATAAAGACAGGGATTTAATTGCTTCACCGATGTGCGGATCCCAAATGAACGGGAGATACAAATCCGTGTCGCGAATATTTCCTGGATGGAGGAAAGTGCTATACGCAAGTAGATGTAGATGATCTCTGGTGTTATTTTAGCGTGGCTAATATTATTCGACCTGTTTTTCCGATGCATTCTTTGCAAAAGCTGCATGGTATACTATAAATACCTTGTCTCTTAAGTTAAACTTTATCTTTAACCGCTCGTAGATGTTTGGAGATTTTAGGACAAGGAGTGAACACGAACAAATATCAGAAACAGCTATGTAGGAAACCTATAGCTGCTCATATTTAGAAACAATTATCAGGAACAGCCATGGGTTTTCCAGTATCACCAGTCAACCCAAATATATTTACGGACGCTTTGGAGAAGAAAACCCTGGAAACTTTCCTGCTAAAATTAGAATTCAGAATTCAGAATCAGAATTTGAAAATCATAATTATTTGACCTCATGGTTAAGAATTCCTCTTATATTTTCTAACCAATTAAACTCTATAATAAGGAATTATATATTGTTATTAAAAGGCAATCAGACCTAACATTGTGTCATTCAGTTTACAGAAGACTTACACACACAAACCGATACCTCGCCATCGGTTCCAGTCATCGCTTAACAACTCATTTTTTACAGAGCTGAGAAACCCGAATCATTGCTCTTTTCTCAAATAATTTCTTTATTAGAGATATTAAGCGTTGCATTGGAAAATATACTTCACCACAACCTCCGAAAGAAGAAGAGTTCAAAAGCAATCTCACTGTGGTCCTTCTCTACATTTAGAACAACTGATCATCATCAATATAAAATTAAAATCAGATTTACCATTTGCGTCTCAACCTTTTCGATCCATAAAACACAAAATTCCTTTTGAGACACCAGCAGTGTACATCATTTTATGCATATTCGGCAAAGAATACATTCTAAAGACATAATGAAAAATGTAAATAGGCTAGTAGAACATGAAAGAGCCTTAAGACTAAAGTCTCTAACTCTTAACAATCAAACAATCTTGACCACGACTCACCTTTGACCAATTTGAAAATAGGTCATCCAAGACAATATTCATGTCCCTACATTAGCTCCGCCCCCCTAAAACAGTATATAAGCAGGCACCGAGTAGAAGAGAAAGCAGTTCTAGTTAAGTTCTGAAGAAGTCAACACGATGAGTAATAATATTTTTCCTTTTTGTTATTTGAAAACTTGAACAAATATATAGTCAACGTTAACAAAAATAAACCGAGATCCAATCACGCATAAGAGAAACTTAAAAAATTTATAATTAATTTTCATTAATTGAAAAAAATTGGCGTTATGTAGTATTTTTGTTTTTATTTTTTAAATTTGATTTGATTTAATATCGTTTTGTCTACATTTGATATTTTATGTGTTTAAAGTATTTTCTGGTTAAAGATATCAGTATCAGAACCTTTTGCTTAGTGTACGAGGTGAAGTCAAGCCGTTCCTTCAGACTTCAAACTGTAGTTATCAATTGGTATTTGGACAGCACTAAAGTTAAATTCCCTAACAAGTTAAAAATGAGCGAAAAATTCCATTTCTTTAATTGTATTTAGCAGTACAAATATCTTCCCACAGATAAAATTCTGATTCGACTAAACAACAAAGCACAAGTAGTGCCCAATTTAGTGAGAAATTAAGACTAAATTTTTCAAAGTAAAGAGACCCCAATGTATGGACACGTTCTTAATTATTTTCTTTTCAAATAAACAAATAATTGTATTTTAAATGTAATTTAAATACAAATGTCCCTAATATTGAAAAAAAAAATTAAAGTTGTATTACAGGAAATCTGCACGCCTATACTAGACTGAGACAGACAAGTCAGACAGAAATCTGCTTTGGAGTTATTTTCGGGAAAAAATAATTAAATTCTCAACTTACAAATTTTTAAATGTAATTGTAGATGCAATTAAATACAGTTTTGAAGAAATTGTTTGAAATACATTTAATTACTTTTCAAGAGGATTTCTATTTGTATTTAAATACTTTTAAAAATCTATTTTTAGTAACTCGGAATATAATTCGCTATACTATAAAAATATCTCCCAATATACCTTCCTGGGCAAATACGGATCTAATTCCTTCAGGATCCGAAACAAACACACAATTTACCGGTCCAATTTGGTCTTTAAAAATTGGTCCCAACTGTTTGTGTCTTTTGTCGATGTACCAATGCAGCTTCGGCATCGAACCCGCCAATACTAATGGTAAATTGACCCATTTTCCAATTAACGGTAACTTTTTCGGAGATGGCACGTCGTCGATTGTTAAAGTATCGGTATGAAATTTCTGTACCAGCAACCGTAACGGGGGTCTAATGATCCTTTTTACTTTTAAACATATCGAGCTTGCAAACCTGTCCATTCTAAAACATATCGAACGGAATGCTCAACACGCTTGCATTGAAATAGTTTAACTGTAACTTAAACTGCACCACAATATCGTCGTTGTTATTCCGTAGGGTCCTATCTCGCATTTTGGTGAAACTGAGTTATATTCATATTCTATATTCATACTACTATATACATACATATTTATTCATATCCTTATATTCAGAATTAATATTTTTGCATAAAGACCAAATTGACATTGGCCCCTATTCTATCTCTTTCATGCATTTCTTGCTAAGCGAATTAGGCCTTTGCGTTATAATTTTATTTATTTCCGGAAAATTCAGTGAAGCAATAAAGTAACAAAATTAAAAGAGCAAAAGGACAAAATAAATAATGCAACGCTATAGGTTTACCATTTATTTGAGTTGTTTAAACGTTGTATGCTGAAAAGCGTGTCGATTAGTTGATTAGTGAAATTCGCTGGAAAACTAATGTCTATACAAGTCAGTAAGCAGGAAAATTGGCGGTACAATATTATATTATTTCAGATGTCCTTATTTAAAATGGATGTTTTTGTTGAGTAGGACGATAAAACTATTAATATTGTGGATACAGTCAGCGTATAAATTGTTACTAATAATGCAAAATTCGAGATCGGAAAACTTATTAAAAATTTCAATGGTTGAAAAGCCACCAACCATCGACTTTTAACTAATTTTACTAATTTAACTAATCTAGTGAAGTGAAGTGAAGAAATTAGGGCCAGTATGCAATAAAGCGTGGTGTAACAAGGGTGGTCGAAAATGTACGTAGTTTAGTGAAGAACTCAGACACAAAATATTTTCAGATTTTAATAATATGGGACATTTAATATTGCAGCGAGGGTTCACTGCTAGTTTTGAAGAACAAAATATAAAAAAGTGGTACCAAATGGGTCAGTTAATCGTGGGGTGCTCAAACGAACTTCTTTTATGTTTCTTTAGGGAACAAAAGAGTTCCAGTTTGTCGTAAAATGTTTGTAAATACGTTGCTAATAAGTGATAAAGGAATGCGTACGTCCCTTTAAAAACTTCAAGATTCTGGTCTGATCTGGTCTAACAAAATTTCAAGGGACAATATTGTTAGGCACATGTTAGCCCCGTACGGAATCCCATTAGTGTCAATAAGTAAAATGTATCAATAATTTGTTCAAAACGCAAAATACCATGCCTCTCGTTGTATCGGTTGATTTTTAAAAGTACGAATTTATCATTCCACAGATCTAATAATAACCAGTGCGGGTTTTACCGTATCCAAAATGATGGTACATAAGCCGAAAAAATAAAGTTTAAAGACGCATACCAAAAAAACTACAGTACGACAAATCCAAGAAAAGTTTAGAATTGTGATAAATTTATCTATTTTAAGCGATGGGACGGTGTATTACAAAAGAAGGTTGAGCGTATTTAATTTTACATTTTACGATTTAACTAACCGAAAGTTTTTTTTTGTTTTGTTTTAAATAGACGAAACACAAAAATGAAGATTCAATCTGGCTATCATTTGCTGATGAATGCGATGGGCAGAATAAAAATTCTATCTTGATCGCTGCTCTTTTTGTTTCTCACAATTACGGCCAAAATGAAGGGGACTTAATTATGCAGTTTGCTGATGAATACGATGGGCCGAATAAAAATTCTATCTTAGTCGCTGCTCTTTTTGTTTCTCACAATCACGGCCAAAATGAAGGGGACTTAATTATGCAGTCAACAACACAGGTGATTTGTATATCCCGAGCCACCTGGTACTCATATTTCGTCTGGTCAGATAAAAATTTTTTTATCAAGTTTATGCTTTAAATTTCGAAGATTATAGATTCGGTCTAAAAGAACTGACGATAATGGCACAGATTTTAAGTGAACCTATATCATTGAGTTTTTAATAAAAAGAGATCGTCCAGATCGAACATCTAGTTTCTTTACCGGTGTACGTGTAAAATTTCCCCTAGGGAGAAGTTCAATAAAACTAGGTTGTTGCTTTAAGATATGGCTTTATTGCAATTTGATGCGTAACACAATAAAAAAGAACATAAGAAAACAAAATTTTTAGATTGAAATTTTAAATTGAAAAAAAAAAGAAAAGATGATGGTGCGTAGACCAGCTGAATTTGAAAAAAAAATTTCGCAAGAAGTTTATACATTTAAACTTGTTAATGTGATTTTTACTAAAAGTATAATAATATATTTTCAGCATATTATTTTATAAAAAATAAATAAATTTAAAAAATCGCCTGAAATTTCATTCAAAAGGCCATAATATAAAAATAATAATAGTGACCTATCTGATTTAATATACAAACTAGAACTCTTATTGTTTTTACGAAAGGGTCTATCTTATTTAATATGATTTTGATTGAAATCATGCATGATTAAAAAAAATAATAAAATGTCCCCTTATTCTCGTTGACTTATCTACGTTACTTTGAAGAAATAACTTAGAATAAGCGAATAGTACCTGTGATACAGCCAAAATAAGAACAATAGTTTTCTTTAAACCGCTCTCCTATAAAATTGTTAAAATGTAAATAGGTCCGTTGGTGATAGCAGCGACGCTATAATGCTATTCACAGTATAGTACAGTTTTTATTTTACTTGAAGTTAATATTAATACTTAATTATTAATTAATTAATTAATATTAATTCGAGAATAAATAAACTTGATAGTATTAAATAAGTCAGAGCGTAAATGGAAATCAAAAATCCAGAAACTTTCGAACGACGACTTAATTTTATTTTTCACAAAAAAAAATCTCTGTAATTAATGTCGAAATAGTATATTATGCAACAAATGTTGTAAAAGGCTTTTGATTCACGACTTTTGATTTGGAGCGAGCTGGGCGATTGCTTAATAAACGAATGACTTAAAAACACAGACCTGTTACATACTATACTTCTCCTAGGAACTTTAATTTTTGGATACATTTTTGCAAAACAACATTCACTGAGTCATGTTTGACAAGGCCTTCAGAATGTCCGAAGTGACACGCAGTAGCTAACAAAACTGACGTCATAAAATGACTCCGCACGCTCGATCGTTGTAAAATTGGATGTTTTAGGGAAGGGAATAGAACATATTCAGTAATATTCCTTAAAGTGCGATATTTTCTCTTTTGTGGTTTGCTTTTAAGAAACCTATGCTTTTACGTGAGCCTTCAAGTAATATTAAACACTTTGGAGACTTTTATAACATATTTTATAAGTTACTGAAGAAAATCTTTCATAAGCGTTATAAAACTACAAGTAATCGGAAAACCAATTGAAAACTATTAGTGCACAAATGTTTATTCTGTGGGAGGTGGAACTTCCATCAAAGGATATTATGGTATAAGATGGTTAGTTATTTGTACTTATGATCAGTACCCTACAGTTTTACAGTACATAGGTTTTTCTGTTTCTGTTCTAGTTATGACAGTAATAGGGTTCAAGCAGTGACATTCAACTCCAAATTATCTTTTACACCCATATATATATATATATATATATATATATATATATATATATATATATATATATATATATATATATATATATATATGATGACACTATGACACTATATTCCGGGATATCATCCGTTCGCTCGTTGAACTCCGACTGGAATCCTGCTTCCGACTGGAATCCTGCAGACGTTTCGCCAAAATCTCACTTGGCATCTTCAATGCTCGCGCTCCGAAAACACTTCGAACACTGCGAGCGTGAGCATTGAAGATGCCAAGTGAGATTTTGGCGAAACGTCTGCAGGATTCCAGTCGGAAGCAGGATTCCAGTCGGAGTTCAACGAGCGAACGGATGATATCCCGGAATATAGTGTCATCACATTTTTCCATCCGTGAATCAATACGTGAGAATATATATATATATATATATATATATATATATATATATATATATATATATATATATATATATATATATATATATATATATATATATATATATATATATATATATATAAAACTCTCAGATTTATTCTTCTTCTCAAGATATCACCTTGGTTCACCGAGTCTCAAATTGTGATGTTTGTTTGCACTTTGAGAATAAAACTTAATTTTAAATGATTCCCGGCTATTACAGCTATGAAAACCCCGATATCCTCAAAAATGTATATATATGTATATAGAAAGATAATCTGTTGTGAAAATTGGGACACAGAAAGTAATTCTGTTCCGAAGAGTATAAAAACAAAAAAATTCACACAAATAGCCGAATTAAGATTATTTACTATCTTATAAACAAAGAAAACATCAAAACACTGCCTTCTGGATAATAATGTAAAATCTCATGATAAGAGTGAAAGTGTTTTTGTTAATTGAAACGAAAATTAAGAGTATCAATGAATTTTATTTGGACACTGGCGATTCAATCCACGTAAGTTATATCAGAACACGTTTTACCATACTGCAGTGTCTGCATAATTTAAGTGTGTAAGTTCTTTAAGCGCTCATTGCGTTAGATATTTCACTTTTTTATTTGGATGCATTGCAATTTTTTTTTTCGAATGAGACTATGAGAAAATAGGGCTCATCTTTGTTATATTCCAAACACACATCTATTACAATTACATCATTTTTTAAATAAGAAACGTACTTTGCGGGTGTTCCTAGCGTCTTTAAAGAAATGAGAAGAATTCTCAAGTTTAAGACCAAAATGTGGTTATAATTTTTTAAAATCTCACTGTTATCGCTTCCGAAAACGATATTTTCGTGAAATTTGGTACACATAATAAAAGGTTTTAGTTTACAGACGTCATTTACTTCAAATTTTCTTTTTCATTTATTTTTTATATTTACAAAACTTCTGGATTCCTCTTGCTTTGCTTGTTGTTGAATTGAACTTGCTGAAATTTCGCCTCTTGGCTACTTCAGGGCTTAACTGAAGCTGGCTCTCCTTTTACTCCGTAACTGTTTATAAATTGTTTGAATGAGTCCGTGATGTTTTGGATGAAAGGGAGGACAACAGTGGCAAGTGTGGTGTTGCTTCCGGACTCTTACATTCAA